AAAATAGAAAAGCTAAACCTGAGGCGTCAGGGTTTCTGTCGGTGACACACCAGTGACAGGTACATTTAGAAGTGGTGCCATGTGCTGTTGACACCCACAATTTCACACCAACTGCCCCAAAAGCGAGGCAAAAAGTGATATTTGTTATCTTGTCTTTCCTCAGATGAGCTATCCTTGACTTTTGCTTTTATTAACTATTTCTCATCAGTATTTAATACATCTTTCACCTCTCTTTGAGAACTTTTATCCAGACAAGAAGGGCCTTTTGTTTGTTTTTATTTTTCATTTCCAACCAGTGATTTGACTGATCTTGCTTAGCTGAATCACAAGGATTTGAGTTGCTTTGAAAGACTTCATTTTTATTTCATGGTTTATCCCTTTTTTTATATATATAAGATTTATATCCTTTAAGCTTTTGGTAAGGATCACTAAATCTCTCCAAGGATTCTTTTATTCCTGATAAAAAGTGAGATTTTTTTTTTTCTGCTCAGCCTTAAGAACCAGTTTCTCCTACAGGGACACCAAAGGGATTTGTTGGTACATCTCCGATCCTCCTACAACCTTTTGGTGCCTCTGCTCCTGCACCATTCACACCCAGCAGCCCCTTGCTGTTGCTTTTTCCAGTTGCTATTTTTGTAAACATCCCCTTTGCCTTGGTTTTCTAAAGAGAAATGGAGAGACTTTCACCTTTGGATCCATCCAGGAATAAATTTAAACCCTGGCTTTCCTGCTGAGCATCACCACACATCTGTTGCACAAAGCAGGCAGATTTATCTATATCCATTTAATTCCTTTCCATCAATTCCCACATCAGTTAAGCAGAGCTGTAATTTTCTTAGGTAGCAAAAGGGGCCTCAAAATCTCTGCTTAGAAGTGAAACAAGTGAGCACCTGACTCCCACAGCCCTCAGTCCAGTGAAGATTTGAGCAGATTAATTAAAAAATGAAAAAGAAGAAGAAAGAGGATTTATGGTTTCAGATTCTAAAAAGACAGTAAAGGTTTTGTTTGTTCTTATTGTGCATCTAAGGAGCTTTTGGAATCAGCTCTGTGTCTGCAAAGGGGAGCAGTGCCCGTGCAAAAAGGGGAGAAGTGGGGGGATTCAGGTTTTGGTGTGAACTTCACAGAGTTCACAGAATGACCAGGTTGGAAGAGACCTTCAAGGTCATCGAGTCCAACCCAGCCCCAACCCTTCAACTAAACTTTGGCACCCAGTGCCACATCCAGGCTTTGTTAAACACACCCAGGGATGGTGACTCCACCACCTCCCTGGGCAGCCATTCCAGAACTTTATCACTCTTTCTGTGAGAAACTTTTCCCTAATATCTACCCTATATTTCCCTTGGTGCAGTTTGAGACTGCAGCAGAGTTTTTCCTGCTGGTCCCCGAGGCCACCAAATCCCTGTGGGGCAGGAACTGCAGAACCTGACCATGATGTAAGGAGGGTCCTGGAGCAGAACCATCCAGGGACCCTTCCTGAAGGACACTTCCTGAGGGACCCTTCTTGTGGGACTGTGGGACCCCTCCTGAGGGACCCTTCCTGCAGCAAAATCACCCAGGGACCCTTCCTGCTGGGCCCTTCCTGTGGGACTCTTCCTGAGGAACCCTTCCTGCTGTAACCCTTCCTGAGGGATCCTTCCTGAGGAACCCTTCCTGTGGGAATGAGGAACCCTTCCTCGTGCACCCTCCCTGCTGGGCCCTTCCTGAGGAACCCTTCTCATGGGACCCTTCCTGTGGGATCCTTCCTGCTGGGCCCTTCCTGTGGGATCCTTCCTGTGGGATCCTTCCTGCTGGATCCTTCCTGCTGGGCCCTTCCTGAGGAACCCTTCTCATGGGGCCCTTCCTGTGGGATCCTTCCTGTGGGATCCTTCCTGCTGGGCCCTTCCTGTGGGATCCTTCCTGAGGGACCCTTCCTGCTGGGTTTGCAGCCGGCTCACCTTCAGCACCTCTCCTTCCATATTTCCCTTGTGTTCTCAGTTCAAAAACCCCCTCATCCTCCTGCTGCTGGCCTCAGCTCTGGTGAGCGTCGTCACCAAGGAGTACGAGGACGCCGCCAGCATCACCATGGTGAGTGTCACCTGTCCCTATCACCATGGTGGGTGTCACCTGTCCCCATTACCGTGGTACATGTCACCTGTCCCCATAACCATGGTGAGTGTCCTGTCCCCATCACCATGGTGTCACCTGTCCCCATCACCATGGTGAGTGTCACCTGTCCCCATCACCATGGTGGATGTCACCTGTCCCCATTACCATGGTACATGTCACCTGTCCCCATAACCATGATGAGTGTCACCTGTCCCCCTCACCATGGTGTCACCTGTCCCCATCACCACAGTGCGTGTCACATGTCCTATATCACCACCAGAGGGTGTCACCTGTCCTTTATCTCCATAGTGGTGGCCCCATCACCCATGTGACACCTAACCTTTGTCCCCATGACGGTGGCCCCTGTCCTTGTCCCCATGGTGGGTGTCACCTGTCCCCCATCCCCACAGTGAGTGTCACCTGTCCTTTGTCCCCATGGCGGGTGTCACCTGTCCCGCATTCCCACACTGAATGTCACCTGTCCTCATGGTGGTAGCCCCTGTCCTTTGTCCCCACGGTGGTGGCCCCTGTCCTTTGTCCCCATGGTCCCTGTGCCCACACCTGTCACCTCTCTGTTCACAGGCCGTGCTCATCGTGGTCACCGTGGCCTTCATCCAGGTGGGTTGTGCAGAGCTCTGCAGTGGCCATGGCCAGCAGCACAGAGCCCCTGCTGTAACTTGGCTCTCCTCTCCTTCTCCTTCCCAAGGAATATCGCTCAGAAAAGTCCCTGGAGGAGCTCAACAAGCTGGTGCCCCCCGAGTGCAACTGGTGAGCCAGGGAGGGGGCTGAGAGGGCAGCACCAAAGGGAGAAGGGGATTATTCCAGGCTGTGGTGCACATAGTGAGGAGCTGGTCTCTGGAGGGTTGGCACTGTGAATGGGTGCAGCTCTAGGTTGGGGATGAAATAATCAGTATTGATCAGAAATTATTAGAATTTTTGTTTAACTATTAGGAAAAAAATTAGAAATAAGGAGTAGGCACCCTGTGGAATAAATAAATGCTAAGACAGGAGAGTCCCAGAAAAATCTGCTCCACATCCCTGCAGCATCCTCTCTCCCCAGGCAGGAAAAACCCCACCTGTGTGTGCATTTTTTTGGCTTTAGGGTAGTTTTTCCCCACAAGAGCTGGGCACAAAGCAGCACCTGAGTGCAGTGCAGGTGGAATGGGGTTCCTGTCCTGCCTGGTGCTGCACACACGTGTCAGGCACAGGCACAGCCAGGTCACAGCCCATGGAGCAGCTGCAGGGTGGATCAGACACCGCTTTCCCCAGGGCTTTGATGTTTTTTATCAGTGCTGGAAATCACAAGAAACGTGTTCCTTATTTATGTCTTTGCAAATCAGTTTTGTCACAGTGAACAGGAATAAGTTGTGAGGCTCAGGAAGCCTTGCCCTGCCAAAGAGGTGTGGGGCTTTCCTCTGGTACAAAGTTCACCCTGGAGCTTACAAACCCCACTGCTGGTTCTTTATTTATTTATGATATGACACCAGAAGCATCCAACTGCCAGGAAGGCTCCACTTTGAATGCAGCAGTGGAATGCCAGGGGTAATTCTAGCTTTAAAACGCCTCTTTTTTAGGTTCAAGAGTCTGAAATTCATTATTTAAAGCATGTAAGCACAAATTCTCATTGGTCCTCTAATGTATAAATAATGTTTATAGTTTACAAAGTCACTCCTGAAATGTAAATCATCCATAACCTGCCCATCTGTTTATGAATTAAAACCAAGCCCAAGCTGAACATAATCCTCTGCTCATTGCTATGAAGATTTTCTGTTCTTATTTACATTGGAAGCTCTTTGGGGCAAGGCTTTCTTGCCAGCCACATTCCCAAGCTTGCAGGAGGAATAAAACCCTCACAGCCTGCTTCCCTTTCTTCTTTTTGTTCCTTTTGCCTCATGTAGCCTAAGGGAAGGAAAACTGCAGCACCTTCTAGCACGAGAGCTGGTGCCTGGAGATATCATCTACCTGTCTGTGGGTGACAGGGTTCCTGCAGACCTCAGGCTCATCGAGGTAAATTCAGCTGGAAACCAGCCTGGCTGGCAAAGCCTTGTCTTAACAGTGCCAGAAATTCATCTTTTGAATCAGGTTACAGATCTGCTGGTGGATGAATCCAGTTTTACTGGGGAAGCTGAGCCTTGCAACAAGACTGAGGGTGTGCTGCTGGAGGCTGGGGACATCACCACGCTGAGCAATGTGGTTTTCATGGGGACCCTGGTGCGATACGGGAAGGGGAAAGTGAGTCCTGACATCACTGATGTTTTCCTTTCCTGGGCATTAATTACAGATTCTTTTGGTGTGGGCATGGAGAGACAGGAAAAGGTGAATGGCAGAGGTGAGGTTGGATGTTGGGAAGGAATTCTTCCCTGTGAGGGTGGGAATGCCCTGGCACAGAGAAGCTGTGGCTGCCCCTGGATCCCTGGCAGTGTCCAAAGCCAGGCTGGATGGGCCTTGGAGCACCCTGGGACAGTGGAAGGTGTCCCTTCCCATGGCAGGGCCTGGAACAAGAGGCTTAGGATCCCTTCCAACCCAAACCCATCTGGGATTCTCTAGGTTTTTTCACCTCCATCTCTCTTTTTCCCTTTTTTCAGGGCGTGGTTATTGGCACGGGTGAGAATTCCCAGTTTGGCGAGGTGTTCAAGATGATGCAGGCTGAGGAGGTAACACAGTCCTGGCTGGGGAAATGCTGGATGTCCTGGGTGAAAGTCTGTGAGCAGGAGCAGTCCCAGGAGCCAGTGCACTGGGCTCAGTTCTGCTTCTGCCACAAAATGCCCGTGTGAGGGGGGGACACCAAGTGACAGAGAAGGACAGGACAGGCTCTGCCTGTTGGAGGATTGAGGGTGGGAGAAGCACAAGGGACCATGGGTTGAAACCAGCCCTGTTGGGTCACTTGAGCCAACCATCATCTCCCCATCCCACAAAACACCCAAAGAAAAAACAGTCATCTCTAACTTTTCCAGACTCCCAAGACACCTCTGCAGAAGAGCATGGACAGGCTGGGGAAGCAGCTGACCCTGTTCTCCTTTGGGATAATTGGTGAGTGGGATGCAGGGCTCACACTTGCATGGCTGGCTGTGATATCCCTCTGTGCTCTCCCAAAAGCCCTGGTGGGTCTGGCTTACCTGGACTTTGGGGCTTCCAGCAGAGACAGCACTGAAGGAGAGATTTGGGTGCCTCAAAGCGTTTTAGTTCTACAACATCAGCTAAAAGAGGTTAGGGAATTTTTTAATTCTTTTTTTAACCAAATCCTTTACACCCCCAGGTTTGATAATGCTCATTGGCTGGCTGCAAGGGAAGCACCTCCTCAGCATGTTCACCATTGGAGTCAGGTGAGGACTGGAGAGCCCTTCTCTCTTTCATTTCTAATGAAACATCCCAAGGAATTCCCTGTTCAAAACAATGGACTTTTCACATAAGAAAACTTGAGTAAAACCTTTCAAAATACGTTTTTCTCATGCACTGGCAAAATTAATGTGAGGTTTAAACAGAGAGGAGAAAAACAGAACCAAGCTTGAGGGTTTATTTAATTTTGTAAACTGTTATCTCAAAAATCTTCACTGGCATCTCTGCCTCATCCTGCTGTGGGTGCCCTTTCCTATCTGTGCTGTGAATTTAGTGGGAGTGTACCAACAGCAAATATTACTCTTTGCTGTTCCCACTGGATTTACATCTAACGAAAGGAATGCACACCTCATGCAGCAAAAAGAAGCATGCACAGCTTCTTAATCAAACACAATAAAAATGTGTTTTCAGCAGTGCCCATAAAACCTGTAAACTTGGCGTTGTCATGGTTCTAAAATAAATTCTTAAATAAAAAATGTTCTATAAAAAGAAAAAAAAATCCTGGGTGAGGAAACAACAGAGAAGCCAAACTGATTCAGTGCCAGGAAAGTGGTAAATTCTGAGTTTTGGAGGGCAGCTGATGGTTTTATAAGCTCTCCTGGATTGCATTTTGCACATGCCTAAAAGCATTCAGAGCTTCCCAAGGAATATCTAATATCCAATATACAGACTGGGCTGGATTTTTCCAGCATATCAGGTGTTGCAGGTTTTGATGATGGGGAAATTTGGGGAGCTGGTTTTGTCCCCCACATTGTGGGTAAGAGAGGAGGTGAGGGGCTGTGGTCAGAAGCCAGTGGTTAATATGTGAGCCCTGATGCCAAGGAATATTCAATTCCCATCCTCAGAAAGTTAAATAAATGAAATTAAATCCAGCCTTCACATCCCTGCTTAGCCAGAAATTACTGCTCTTTGGCAATGCAAAGAAGAAAAATAACTGCTCTGTCAAAGTCATCCAGGAAAAGCTCGAAGGGCTGGATAAATATCCTGCTTTTGTATTTACAGTGTGCCAGGTTTATCCCCTTAGGAAAACTCAGCCCTGGGGGTATCCCTTTGGCACCTTTGGGTCAGTGCTGTGGTTTGGGCCCTGTGTTGAGGCTGTTGTGTCTCTGCTGTCCCCAGCCTGGCCGTGGCTGCCATCCCCGAGGGGCTGCCCATCGTGGTCACTGTCACCCTGGTGCTGGGAGTGCTGCGCATGGCCAAGAAAAAGGTGATTGTGAAGAAGCTGCCCATAGTAGAGACCTTAGGTAAGGCTGCAGAGGGGCCACACGGCCTGGTCACCTGCCAGGCTCCCAAATCGGAGCTGGGCACCCACAGGCTGATCCAGAAAAATAACTTTGGAATAGGGTTACTGGGACAAAGCAACCCACTAAGAATTAAATGCATTTTCTGCCCTGTGTTTCCCTTAGCTTGGTGGTGGGAACACGGTTGGAATGGTGCAATCCAGCCCACAGGGAGTAGGCACACATTGGGTTATAAAATCTTTGTTTTTCCTTCCTCTCCATGAGTGGAATCCTTCTGCAGATCCATCCTGTCCACTTCTTCAGTGTCTGGCTAAAAAAACCTCCCCAGCCCCTTCCTGACTGCAGAAATAAAGCCATTTTTTGTTCTGCAGGCTGGATGGCCATGTCCCTGAGATCCAAAAAGTCACAGAGAGGGGGACAGAGGGGATTTGAGGAGGTGTCCAGCACATCCTCACGGCTGCAGGGCACAATGAGCCAGGATGGAATTGTTCTTCCAGCTCCCCTTATCTTTAATTTGTCCCTCACTCCCAGGTGCTTACTCCAGGCTTTGCTGCTCTGCCCTGCTCAGGGTGGCAGGGATATGGAGGAGGAGACACAGAGTCTCTTTAGCACCACTCATTAAAGGCACAATAAACACCAAGGCTGGGCCGTGCAGTTCCCAAAATCTGCTGCACTGCCACGTCCTGCAGCTAAAACCTGTCCTCTTCGGAAACACTGCTATTGTTTGAACTGCCCTTGTTTGTTCTGCAGTTAAGGAATCTTATCACCCTGATTTTATTGTCTCTGCCCTGACCCAGGACATCTGAAAGGGCTTTTCCCTCCTGAGGGAATTTGTTCTGCTAGGGCTGCGCCCACAGAGGCGGAACTGCAGGTGCAGAGAAGGCACGGCCAAAACTGTCTGGGAAACTTCTGAAAAGGAGAAAAACAATCCTTCTTTAATTATCACTCACAAAAATGAGGTATTGGAGGTCACAGCTTTGCTTTCTGCTAATCCTTCCAAAGTGTGATTCATTTAATTGCAGCCCAATCTGCTTTATTTTCTCTCCAGGCTTTTTCCTGGAGGTCACTGTGCTCATGGGGTTTGTGCCTGAGCACTGTGATCACCTCCAGAGCCAGGGATGATATTCACACTCAGGAGGGAACTGGAGCCTAATGCTTATTTTGTATTAATTTCCTCCCTTCTTGGGAATAGAAGCTATCTGGAAAGTGGTGCCTCTGCTAATTCACCCTCTTGTGGTATTTTGTAGATGGGCTCTGGAAAAATGTGCTTTGTTGGATCTGGATTGGCACAAAGCAGAGTAAAGGGGCAGATTCTGTTCTTGGATGTGGATCTTTGAGTATTTTTTGTGACAGTTTTTAGCCCATCTCTTCTCACAGTCCCTTGGTGAGGCAGGGAAAGGCTGAAATTCCTGATTTAGAGAAGCAAGGCTTAATTGGCAGGGTGGGAATTGGGTCTGTCTTTTTGGAATAGAGCAGCTCTTCTGCTGAGTGATATTGCAACTCAGAAACATTGACCAAGACAATGTGACCCTCTTCAGGTGTCCCCAACCACATCTCCCACCCCAGTGATGCTCACAATGCCCCAGTGTGCGCTCAGATCCTTCCCTTCCCTGTCAGGGGAAAGGATCTTTCGTTCTTTTCTCCCTTTCACCGGTGCATTTCAAACACCACGAGAAAGTTGTTCTCCCCGCTCTCAATCTCCCTGCTGGGCTGCATTACTGCCCAGCTCTGACTGGAGCCATCCCTGCCCCAGGTTGCTGCAATGTCATCTGCTCGGACAAGACGGGCACTCTGACGGCCAACGAGATGACGGTGACGCGGCTCGTGACCTCGGACGGCTGCCAGGCCGAGGTAGGGATGGGGCTGAGGGGCTGAGCCAGCCTCTCCTGCTGGAATCCAGCAGCACTCAGTCTGCCTTTGCTTCACTCAGACACAAAGCAGGGAGGCTGGCCAACCCCAAACCCAGCAGTTTCTGTCATGTTCCACACAGAGAAGGGATTTATCCAGCCCTGGGGACAGGCAGAGGTGGGGCTGAGGGGACAGAACTGCTCAGGTCCCACTGAGATGTTCATTGGAGAAAAGGAGACTCAGAGGTGACCTTATCACTCTCTACAACTCCTGAAAGGTGACTGTGCTCAGGTGGGGTTGGGCTCTTTCTCCAGGCAGCAAATGTCAGAACAAGAGGACACAGCCTCAAGCTGCAATGGGGGAAATGCAGGTTGGATATTAGGGAAAAATTTTTCACAGAAAAGAGTGATAAAATATTAGAATGGCTGGCCTGAGGAGGTGGTGGAATTGGAGTTTTTTTGAACACATCCCTGGGTGTGTTTAACAAAGCCTGGATGTGGCACTGGGTGCCAGGGTTCAGTTGAGGGGTCGGGGCTGGGTTGGATTCGATGATCTTGAAAGTCTCTTCCAACCTGGTCATTCTGTGATTGGCATAACTGTTCCCTGCAGTTACTGTAAATTCTGAAACCTGCCACTGACCTGTGGATGTAACAGTCTGGTCAGAGACAGAAAGCCAGATAAACCTTCCCAGGAATTCTTCTGGGCAGTTTTGAGAAGGCTGAGAGAAAGAATTAAAGCAATCTTGCAGCTGGTGTTCTGAGCAGTTGTTTTCTCGTAAGATGTTTACCAAAGGGTGTCTTCTTAATTAGCCAGTGGTGTGATGGGGTGTTGATTAAATGACTGATCATGTCCACCTCTATTGGAATGGTGTATAAAAGAATAAGTTTTCAATAAAACTCAATTTAACCTCCTGAAGGAACCCGGACTCTCTGTGTCACCTCACTCCCATTCCTGACTCAACAGTGACACTGACCCTTGCTGGTCCATCTCCTGCAGGAATATTTGTTATAAGAGCAGCTTCATTCTCTGCTTGGTTCATTTCTCTGTGCAAAATGAGGGAAAATGCAAAATGTGAGGCAGAGGAGAGACAGTCAAGAGAGCAAGGCTTGAACAACCCAGTGATGCCAAAGGTCTGCATCTCTCCCCTGAGCTGGAGGAGACTTCTGGAATCTATAGCAAACAAGTGCCCTATAGGACAAATTCACTCCTTTTGTCCCTAAAAAGCCATTTTAATGTGATATTGTCACTGTTTTCAGCCTTTACTTTAAGCCTTGCTTTGAGAGACAAAGAAGAACCCCTGCACTCCTTCAAAATGAGAATTTTCTTGAGTGCAGCCCCTGCACACATCTGCAGCTCAGTCCTGCCTGGCAAAGGGGAGATTTCCCACCTCTCTCTCCCTCCCTCCCTCAGGTCAGCGGGGTGGGCTACAATGGAGAAGGAAATGTTTATCTTCTGCCGTCCAAGGAGGTCCTTAAAGAATTTTCCAACATCTCCATTGGGAAACTCGTGGAGGTAGGTATGAATTATGAACCAGCTTAGCCTGGTTGCATTCAGTCTTCAGTTGCACAAATAACTTTGGATAATTAGCATGAAAAAAAACCACTTTTGTAACTCTAAAATGGACTGGCTTGCTAAAACATTCTCATGGAAAGACTGAGTGTGATTTAATTCCTGAAATTAGGAGTGAAAAGCAATGATCATAAGGCATGCAGGGAGAGACCAGAGCCATCAGCTTCAGGAGTCAATGATATTCTGGATAAAAATACAATTCTGGCAAAGGAGAAACCAATACATTTTACCCTGTTCAGGTTTTTAATGTGCACAGTTTCTAGACATTAGCCAGCTACACAGTCAGTTTATAAATTTATTGTGATGTTCTCTGGGTTTTGTGTCAGCTTTACATAAAATTTTGAACATTCAACTGCAGGCTGAAGTGGAGTGTTTGGGTGGTGAAATGATTCAAGCTGGAATCTCAAATGTAGACTAGGTCCTGTTTTATTCATACTGCACATTAGAAACAATGGGAGGAGAGACTGAGCCTTCATTTTCATGATCTGTGAGCTCATTAGATGTATCTTATGTTTTCTTGATGTTAATTTATCCAAAGCATAATATTTTACCAAATTACTGGTGTATTATATGCATTAAGTGGCTTTAGAAAACACAAGAACTGATCTCAAGTGATGCTGCTGAGTTTTTCCCAAAACTTTTGGGATGTGGCTCCTTTCATTCCCCAACCTTCAGTCTTCCAACCTTCATTCCTCTTCTTCCATTTCATTTAAAGAGATTAAAAAGTTGTGACTTCAGTAATGACAAAAATATCTCATGCAAACCTGTCCCTTTCTCCAGGCTGGCTGTGTAGTCAATAATGCTGTCATCAGGAAAAACACTGTGATAGGACAGCCCACAGAAGGAGCTCTCATTGCCCTGGCAATGAAGGTAAGACCCTTAGAGCTTAAAATTTCCCTGCAATTCAAATAAATAAGTTAAATAAAAGCTGGATTTGTGAGGTCTGGCAGCAGAGTGAGACTGCTGTTAATTCCCCAGGCTGGTTTTGGTCCTCCCCTGTCCCCTCTGCCCAAAGTCACAGAAGTTTCCTCTCCCAGCCATCCTTTAGTCATGGACAAACACTTTCCTTGAGCTCCTGTGCTGGCAGCAATCATTGCTTGGCTTGTTTAATTATGCTGGGTAATGCATTTATTTTAGGCTCAGGTGGGAAAACCTTTTTTATATTTCCTGCACGTGCCAAGGAAGAGTCCAGGAGGAAGAGAAAAGTTAAAAATGGGCAGGAACAGGCCAGGCCAGATTGCATGGCAGAGGGTCACCCTCATTTTGGGGCATCTGCTGGCTTGTACTTTTCCTTGTCATGATAATGTAAATCAAAATGTTTTTATGGATATTGCACTCACACTCCTGGGCAGAGCTGTGAAACACCCCAAGGTGTCACCTCATCGGTGTCACCTCATCGGTGTCCCCCAGGCTGTGGCCTCAGCCCTCAGGTCCCTGATGAAAAGGATGCCCCTGCAAACATCTGATCTTACTCCTGCTTTTAAAGCTCATAACTCTGGCAGTGAAACCAGGATTTTTTACTTTTTTCTTTTTAAACAATGGCATTTCCTTTCCCCAAATGCTGAGTTAAAACCTTCCTCCTGCTCTGGAATTCAAGCCAAGCAATTGCAGAATATGAGGGAGGGTGTCTCTCCTATTTTTAGGGGATTTTTTATATTTTGGTTTGATGGGAGCTGGGGACAGAGGTGATCAAAAGCAGCTTCCAGTGTCTCCTACTTCACCTGAAACACCCACACACTCTGCTGGAGCAGGAGTGCATTGATTTGGACTGAAAGGTTTTGCTGTGAATTGCTTTTATTATTATTTGAAATAATTCAAAACCACATCCATGACTGACCATCCTGTTATTTGCTATTTCCTTTCTTCCTTCAAGTAGAGGTGCTGGGAAATAACCCAGAAAAGAAACCCAGAAATCTGTTCAGCCATAGATTTAGGGAATGGACTTGATCCTCCTTTGACCCAAAGCCTCACAAAAAGGCAGGGCAGCTCCCTAATTCTTTAAAAAATTACCAGGAATCAAGCTTCAAACTCCAGTTTTATCCCATATCAGGCACACCAAAAGGGAAAAACTGGTTTGAAATATGAATTTTGCTCTCCTCGTGTTTTCTCTTGAGCTCCGTGGTATCTGACAGCCTGGAAGGACACAGTCAACAGTCAATTCCTGTGATATAGAAAATATATCCAGGTTTTGGCAATGCCCAGCCTCACAGAGCTCTTTTTGTTTTACCTTGCTTCAGATGGAATTAGCTGACATAAAGGACATTTATGTAAGAAAGAAGGAAATTCCATTCAGCTCCGAGCAGAAGTGGATGGCTGTGAAATGCACACTGAAAAATCAGGTAAAGCAAACAGAGGCAGGGTACTGGTTTCGTGTTTCTAATTGTGCACCTCAACAATGGGCATGAAATGGTATCTCCTCAGCAAATAATGTTTTCAGGAGTTAACTATGTCTGGAGAAAACAGAACAAACCTCAAAATTCCCAGCTTGGGGGGATTTTTAGCCTGTAAAACTGAGTTTGAATGGGAGGGGGGAATACTTTTCATACAGTGGTTTGAGCAGGAAAACAAAAGCTTTTCAGAGGTGACTGACAGGGAGAGAAAGGTCTGGTGTGTGGGAGGAAAGGTTGGCCCTTTGTCCCTTACTGGGTTAAGGAGCTCATTTTGGCTGATATTATGCTCTGGTTTAAAAACTCAGCAACCTTTTCATCTCCATGCTGTCTGTGAGGGCTGAACATGAAAAATGGCCAGATCAAAAATACCCCATCCCATCCATAATATATGCTCCTGGGCATCTCTTGGAACAGGTAAAAGAGGAAGCAGGATCTTTTGTACCTAAGGACTTATTCAAAATGTGCTCCTTTTTTTGGATAAAGTGTATTCTCTCCTTGCTTTCAAGGATCAGGAAGATATTTACTTTATGAAAGGAGCATTTGAAGAAGTTATCCAGCACTGCACTCTGTACAACAGTGGTGGCATCTCTCTGTCACTCACACCCCAGCAAAAAGCCCTCTACCAGCAGGAGGAGAAGAGAATGGGCTCCTCAGGCCTTAGAGGTGAGTCCTTACTGCCCCTATCTGGCCTAAAACTTTACTGTTCTGTTGTGGTTGGGATGGGCAGAGGCTCAGTCCTCACAAAATCACAGAATGATTTGGATTGAAGGACTTTAAAGTTCCATCCCACCCCTGCCATGGCAGGGACACCTTCCACTGTCCCAGGGTGCTCCAAGCCCTGTCCAGCCTGGCCTGAGACATTCCAGGATCCAGGGGCAGCCACAGCTGCTCTGGGAACCCTGTGCCAGGGTCCCCTCACCCTCCCAGGGAAGAATTTATTCCTAATCTCCAATCTAAATCTCAAATTTCACCTTAAAGTTCTTAGCATCACTTTCATGGTCTCTTCCCAACTCTTGTCAGAGTGCCAAGGGCCCTGTCTTAGGTCTGCTGGCTGGTCTGTTTTTTGTGCTGGGTTTAAATTAGTGAGTTTGAAAGGAGCTGAAAACAAGCCCTGGAAATTGAGTGTTTCTCTTCCATGGAGAGCTGTGATTGTCTGGGACACGTTCTGGGTGCTGCATTGCCGACCTTTGTGCTGGGCTCAATCTAAGCACTGCTCTGCCAGTTTTGATTTTGGAGAAGACAGCAACAAAAATCCACTTTGGAAGGAGTTCCAAACAGGGATTTGGGAGCTGAGATTTCTGTTTGAAGCTTGGTTCAATGCTGTGCTGGGCCCAAATCTCTGGATCTCCTGATCCCAGCTGCCTGTCAGTGCACAGCCCACAGGAGCTTCATCCATGTGCCACCTCCTCCATCACCAGAACATCCCCCCAGAAACACCTCAGACCTCCACACAGGGACACAGACACCATTCCCAGCTCGTAAGGAGATGAGGACAAGCCTTGGCAGCTGCATCTGGAGGATGGTGGAGTTCATGCACAGATTCTCCCACCCTGTGTCCTGGGGTTAGGAGCTCCTGTGCAGCGCTTGATTTACAATATCCAAATTATCTGCCCTCGTGGCCATGGCAAATGACTGCTCTGAGGGGAAGTGATTAACTCAGGCAGCTGCTGCAGTTTTGATTCCATCATCAAAGCAAGGCTGACATGGACCCCTGGCAAAATATCCTTGAGTGATTTAAGAATGATTGAGTGATAACGGGTGTGCACCAGAAACAGAGACAAAATGTTCAGAGCCTGGATGTTTACATGGTGGGAGTTTCACTGGTTTAACTGAATTTACATTTCACATTTTTAGGTTTTAAAAAAAGTGTAAGTTTTTGCAGGAATGCTATTGTTTAACTTAGGAGTTTAACAGTGTCTGGTTTAACATAACATTGCTGAGATTTAATCCATCTGCATTTAGGCAAGACGTGGTAGACAGCTTAAAATTAGAAAGAAAGAAATCCTAAGAGAAACATGTCAAACAGAAATGCTCTCATTCAGAGAAACTATTATTTAGTGGACTGAATTTTTGTGTCTATACAAGATCTGATTGTAATGACTAGAGATCTGTTTTTAATGACTTTTTCTGCTGGGAAAGAGGCAATTTAATATCTTCTCTAAATATTCCTTTTAAAGCACGGAAATACATCATTAATAATTTCATCTTGTCCTCTTTTTCTCCCCTCTGTTCCTAGTACTTGCTTTGGCTTCAGGTCCAGAACTTGGCAAACTAACATTCCTAGGTCTGGTGGGAATAATTGATCCCCCAAGGGCTGGGGTGAGAGAAGCTGTGCAAATCCTGTTTGAGTCTGGTGTGTCAGTGAAGATGATCACTGGAGATGCCCTGGAAACAGCTGTGGCTATAGGTACCAAACTTTGCTGCTCTCCTGGGCGTCTGTGGTATGTCTGTCACATCTGTCAAGTGTTTTATCCCTTAATAATCACCTTTGTCATTGTGTCTGTGTGCTCAGTAGAGGCTTTAAAGGTCACTGAATTTTTGCTTTTCCATTGAAACAAACATTAAATGGAGTATAGAGCAGCTACAAACTCTGGGCCAAATTCCAATAAATTAATTCCACTATTTTAGCACCAGAAATAGGAAAATCTCACTGTAAACCTCCTAAAAGACACAGATAGCGTTGCTAGGATTATAGAATCCACTAATATTTGGAGTGTGAGTATCTCTTTTCTTTTTTTCAGGACAGAATATTGGTCTGTGCAATGGGAAGCTGAAAGCCATGTCTGGGGAAGAGCTGGACCAACTGGCAGAGGCAGAGCTCTCCTCCACTGTCCAAAATGTAATGGCTTTGATTACATTTAGAAAAAGCTTATTTCCAATAGCTTCCATCTATTACGAGATTATATTTTGTCTTTGTTGTTTTTCAGGTTTCCATTTTCTTCAGAACAAGCCCAAAGCACAAACTAAAAATAATAAAGGTAATAAGAGCCTGTGAAATTCATTGTACACCTCACAAAAACAAGGGGGAGGGAGCCTCAGTTCTGTGGATGATCTGATCTTCCCCAGCAGCATCAGCTCAAGCTGAAGGACTGTAAAACCCCAGCTAGAGCACTGGCACTGTTTCTCTGAAGGTATTAGCTGTGGAATTGGACTTGATGATCCTTGTGGGTCCTTTCCACCTCAGGATATTCTATGATTTTATGATTTAGTTAAAACTCTGGGCCCTGGGCATACAAAAAAAAATACCTAGTGAGGCATTAGCAGCTCCAATCAGGAGAATGTTTTCTGAGGTTTTACTCCCCCATTCAACTTCTGATATTCTATGATTTTATAATTTTCCTTGCAAGTCTGGGCCCTGGGCATACAAAAAAAAAAATAGTGAGGTATTAGCAATTACATCAGGAGAATGATTTCTGAGGGTTTTACTCCCCTCTTCTAGATTCTGCTGGAGTTGTGAGATTCCCTGTACTCCTGAAAAACCTAATTCTTGGTCTGAGCTTTGTGCTCAGTGCAGTGCTGAGTCCGTTTCACCCTCAGAGTCCAAGAGAGTTTCTGATCTTTCAATATAGAAAGAGCAAAGCAAACAGTGCAGGCTCTGAAATTGCCAGCATGGCTTGTTGCTGTCCTGTTTGAGAGCCTCTGAGCTGTCCCCTCCCACAGGCCTTGCAGAGGGCTGGTGCTGTGGTGTCCATGACAGGGGACGGGGTCAACGACGCCGTGGCCCTGAAATCGGCCGATATCGGGATCGCCATGGGACGGGCGGGCACGGACGTCAGCAAGGAGGCTGCCAACATGATCCTCGTGGATGATGACTTCTCAAAAGTCATGTAGGTTTGGAGATCTTCTTACTCTGCAGCTCTCTTGTGGCTGGCTGCTGCAGCAAGCCTGTGTGTTGTGTAAGGAGGGCTGGGGATGGAAGTGGAGAGCGCCAGGGTGGATCTGACTCACCTTTAGTTGCACACATGGCAATGACTTTCCTTCCAAGTGGTGCTGACCAAGCCACCTTGCACCTGAAAGCCCTGGCTCCTCTAACTGGGATCTGAGAGCACCTAAAAGCCTGGGCAGATCAGAGCTTTTCTGCTCATAATTTGGGCTCAGTGATCCTGGAAGTGTTTTCCAACCTTTATGATTCTGTAGCTAACTGGGGATCTGAGAGCACCTAACAGTCTGGGTAGAGCAGAGCTTTTTGGTCATAATTTGGGCTCGGTGATCCTAGAGGTGTTTTCCAACCTTTATGATTCTACCTCGTACTCTGCCTCATCCAGGAAGCTCAGAAGAAAAACGTAATTTGCAATGCTCTGTTGGTTCATAACAACAGAGTGGGCAGGGTGAGTATATAAATAGGTCCCAAGCCTGCTTTGTGAACCAAAACCTGGCCACATGACCCAGGCTTTCAGATCTGTGTGTTGATAAAGGAATTGTAAGTGAGAAGCTGCATTGACAGCCTCCTCCTGAGCTGGGCTCTGAACTTCCTCTGAAATAAGGGCTACAAAAGACAATTGTATTTTTGAGTGTCACAGGGAGCTCAGTGTAAACAGTGTGAGTGCTCTTGACTTAATAAAATCCCCTCTCCCTTCCAGGAATGCAATAGAAGAAGGAAAGGGAATATTTTACAACATAAAGAATTTTGTCCGGTTCCAGCTGAGCACGTAAGTTCCTGTTCACTTCAGCTCCTGTGGAAGCACCTCTGGGGTGAGGCCCTGCACAATCATGTTCTGTGCTTGCAGGAGTATTTCAGCTTTGAGCCTCATTACCCTGTCAACAGTGCTCAACCTTCCCAACCCACTCAATGCCATGCAGATCTTATGGATCAACATCATCATGGACGGGCCGCCAGCACAGAGGTATGGAAGAGTCCAATGAGCAAAATAATCTTGGGTTTAATATGCCTGAATTTGGCCTAGGAACACAAACTGTTGTGATTCCTCATCAATCGTTATCAGTGGTTCAATAAGCTGCACTTCTGTTCCCTCCTGGTCTTTCAAAAAGCACTTCACATTTACTTGAAGTTTTCTGTGTTTTCCAGGTTTATCCAGGTGGAATCACTTAACTATTCCCTTTTTTGACTAGCAATGGCCTGTTATCCTGAAAATACCACCAGGGAGTAGTGGGGATATGCCCCAAAATCACAAGACTTAGGAACCTCATCCAACTGTTAATTACAACTATAGCTAAATACAATTACAGCTTCCACATTATGCTCAGTCTCACTCTGGGGTGGTCTGATGATTTAATGTTATTTTAGCAGCTCAGTATGCAGAAAACACCTTTGGTATCAGTGTCATGGACAAATTTGGTCCTTATGTCACCTTGCTTGAATATTCACACTGTGTCCCAAAGAATTGCATCCTCCAGCTCCATCCTGGTTTCTCAGGATGAACATTTTGGGACCCTGCATTATTTAACACATCCCTCTGCTTCTCTTGGAGGCAGCTTGGGGGTTGAACCTGTTGACAGGGACACCATCAAGCAGCCCCCCAGGTGCATCACAGACACCATCCTCAGCAAATCCCTGATCCTGAAAATCTTCATGTCAGCAATCATCATCATCAGCGGAACCCTCTTTGTCTTCTGGAAGGAGGTGAGGGAAATCTGCCCTCGGATCTGGTTTCCATCAGGGTGGGTGGAGCACAAAGTGAGGGCAGTTTCTGAAGGACATGGGAAGGATTTTCTGGAATCCATCCCCTGGGGAAGGACACTGTGGGCAGAGGGCTGAGAGCAGGGTCAGCTCCCAGCTCTGCTCCTGCCTCCCTCTATTACCTCTAATTTGGTCCTTCCAATCCAGAATGGGAAACCTATAACTTAATCAATACTTTAAGGGACTTTTCACCTCCAGCTTTCCATTTTCCCAGCAGAAAATGCCGAGTACAATAGATTGCTGTTGGTACTTTAAGTTTCAGTAATTGAATTTAGGATGTTCTTTACTCAAAGTCCACATCAGTTTAAGAATTTAAAGTATGGTTGATAAGATCATAAACTTTAAAATTAGCAGAGAGAACTGAATGCTACCTACAATAGCTAGAATTACATTTACTCCTTTGTTTTACTACCCTGTGATTTGACTGGGCTCATTAAAGGGAACATTTAATTCTTCTATTGAATTGGCATATTTTTGAAAGGTTAAACTAACCCCTGAATTTTTGTGTGCTTCCAGAATCCAAAAGGGGGCATAACTCCTCGAACCACAACGATGACTTTCACCTGTTTTGTGTTTTTTGACCTCTTCAATGCCCTGACATGTCGCTCTCAGGTGAGATGGCTCTGTCAGCAGTAATTTCTTGTCTTAAATCACAAACATAAACATTAGAATACCAGCATTTTGCATAGTAAGGATTTTTTTAATGTTATTTAAAGCAGTATGATTTTTATCAACTTTTTATACAGATAAAATTATCCATCACAAGAGCAACTACACTTTCAACTATGTAACTCTAAGTTAATGTTTATGTAACTTAAAAAGTAATGGAAATTAAATGTAAAGAAACAGGGTGTCATTTCGCTCCAACAGTGATTGGGAAAAGCTACTTTTAATTTTTTTTTTCTTTTCTAGACAAAGTTGATATTTGAAATCGGCTTTTTCCGAAACCGCATGTTCTTGTATTCCGTGCTTGGCTCATTTTTGGGACAGCTGGCAGTTATCTACATCCCTCCACTACAAAAGATCTTCCAGACAGAGAATTTAGGAGTGGTAGGTAAGTTGCAGAATAAATAATGGCTTGGTTTTGGGGGTTTTTTTTGCCTTAAAGTGACTTTAGAAAACAGATGCCATTCCCAGTTTGCTCTGTTAGCTCCCAACACCTCACTGGTAGGGGAGATCAACCAACAGCTCCAATCTCTGTGTATTTACAGAGAGCTGTACCCAAACAGCACAAGTAGTTCATATTATCCTAGCTTAGATTCTGAATATTGATTTACTGCACATAAATGCAAGTAAACGGAGACATGCCAAGATTTTCCAGCTCTGTATGATGACATTTCTCAGATCATTATGCAGACACTCCCTTTGTAAAGAGCTGGGTTAAACTTCAGTTTCCCAGCTGCAATGGAAGAGAGATTTTCATTTCAGTCCTCAGATTGCACCCTACCTCACCGTGTTCCATCTGCATTGTGCTGTGCCATGAGCAGGGGGCAGCAATCCCAAGTGATTCCTGTGTCCAGCCTCCAAGGGGGCCATCCCAGCTGTGGGTGGCCCTTGTGCTGCAGTGCTGTCCCTAACTCAGCTGCAAGGGCACAGGAGGGCACACAGGGCTCACCAGCCCAGCTCCAGCTGCAGGGAAGCCCTGGGCTGGGATTCCTGCCCAGCTGAGCTCCCCTCACTCCCTCCTCTCCCAGACCTGCTGTTCCTCACCGGCCTGGCTTCCTCAGTGTTCGTGGTGTCCGAGCTCATCAAACTCTGTGAAAAGCGCTGCTGCCCCCCAAAGCACGCCAGGGGATGTCACAACTGAGACTGCTCTGAAATGCACCTGGAACACAGCTGTGACCATCCCAATCCACCTCTGCTGCCCCACAAAGCACACCAAGGGATGTCACAACTGAGACTGCTCTGAAATGCACCCGGAACACAGCTGTGACCATCCCAATCCATGGATTTGTGACCCACACATCCTTCCTGAAGGTACTCAAGTGCAGCTATACCAACAGTTCTCACACCAGAGACTCTTCCACGCCCTCCACGTGAGCTGCCTGCAGAAACCTCCAGAGTGGCTCCTTTTTTAAACCAAGAGCAGGTATATTTTTATAACACTGATGTCTACTCCAGAAGGCTGAGCTAGTCCCAGACAAAAGAAGAGTTTCACACTTGTACAGAAAATCTATTGTGCATAAACTGAAATTTTATTTATTTAAATCAAAATCATTTTTATTAATAAAATCTACATTTTAAAATGTTACTGACAAGCATCTGAGTGAGACTCGTGATTTAGACACATCCTTTAATGTTTCACTAGAAGAGTGGAAAAGACCTGCCTTGGAGCATTTCTTTTCCTTCCATCTGTAGTGTTTGTGGACTCCCAGATTTCCAGCCTTGACTCCAAGGGAAGTGTGGAGCAGGGAGCTGAAGTGCCAACCCCCAGCTGTCAGGTTTGGTACCTGTGTGCCTGACAGGACAAGAAGGGAAGGCTGATCAGACCCAGTGCTCAGCAGAGGATGGATTTCATGGGAAAGGGACTCACTTCCAAAGAGCCTGAGAATAAAGAGGAGTCAGGAACAGAGCAGGGATGTTGGGCTTTGCAGCTGGGCCAAAACTGCACAGAAGGGACTGAGCTGTTCAGATCACAGCTAAGCCCACTGCTGACAAAAGCTCTCTGGACATTTTTAGGTGCATGAACATGAAGCCCAGATTTCTTAATGATTAAGTTCAGGTTAAAATAAATATTAAGTCTTTCCCAAGCTCGTCTTTTACATTTAAAGAACAATTTGGAATAATCCCATCTGGTGGTTGGATCAGTGGTGTCCTAGTAAATAATCCTTCACTGAGACATTTGCTAAAGTGCCAGTGTCAGTTTTCTTCCTGCCCCAGCTTAACACCCTCAAAGTGAAGAGGAAGAGTCTCAGACACAAACTTGTCAAAAAACTACAATTTCAGAGGTCACAATGCTATGCTGATAGTCACAAGATTTAGTTCAAACAGGATAATATTTTGGGTTCATAATCTAGAAAGAAATAGCTTTACTAATACTCATTAAAAATCAAAGAAAACCTGGCCACTGAAATATTTTTGGTGGAGAGTAGTTTTGTACAAATCAGGTTTTTTATACCCTTGCAGATGGTTTCAGTTCTCAAAAACAAGCTTCTGCCTTGTAATGGAAGGAGAATGAAGTCTAGCTGTTTATTTTATGTTTAACTGCAGAAATTCAACTCTCTCATCCTGTGTGCCATCTACATGGGAGTGTTTAATGGGCTTAGTCAGTGCTAAGTGAAAAAAACCTCTGAGACTCCTGGTGGGAGTTTGAGGATGTTCAAACAAAAGCTGCTGCCACAACACTTACAGACAGCATCATGTACTTACTACTCCTTACATTGTAAAATTTAATATTATTTATATATAGAGAGAGAAGAAAACTATACAAAAGTATCAGTGCAATTGTTCTGATGCTTATTTTTTTCTGTGTGTTACAAACTTGGGAGATTGTCTGGTTTCCCTAAGCAAGTACAGCATAAAAGGACATTCTCCCAGCACTCTCTGTATTGCAACAAACAGCATGGAAATGCCCCAAGCATTAGTTCAGGTACTCCACAAAACACACAGCTGAGCCCTAAGACACCTGGCTGGAGTGATTTGTTCATGCTCTCCTTTCAAAACTAAATTCATGTTGTTTATTGTTATTTTTACAAATGAGATCTGTGTTAAGGCACAAGTGCAGATTGTTCAGAATATTCAAATCTGGCTCCCTATGAAAAACAACAGGTGGGGGGAAATCTCATACAAGAAAACACCAAGGGAAAGAACTTTAAGGAAGGCCACATGAGCAGAAATTATAGAATAATATTGTTTTTCTCTAAGCTGCAAAGAAGACAAATTCATGCCAGGACAAAGGGGACTGGACACAATCCTTTTCCTCAGGAGGAGAAAAACTGACAGTCAGAGACACTGATAACCACACACTTGTTGCTGAGTTAGAAATTGCAGCCCCTGCTAAAAATCAGGGTTATTTTTGACAAGTTAATTACACATAGTAAATTAGCAAGGTCAAACTAATAATTACTGAGAGATGGGAACTAATTCAAGTAGAAAAAGTCCTGAGTATAAGAGACCTGACAAAACTGGTGCTGACTGGTGAAGAGTCACAAAACAGAGCACAAACCCCAACAACTGCATTTCATATTGTGGGGATCCTTTTCCATAATAATGATTTATTATGTGGAAATAAAGTGTACAGCAATCATCTTTAAACATTTTACAGACATAACCCTGATTTCTATTTCTTTCATAAGGTATCTGCAGATTCTATTCTCAACTAACTATGGCTGCTTCTTACTCAACTGTTTTTACAGCCTGTTATTTTACTCCAGTCTCATGAGGCCACTGAAGAATTTACCTTTTCTAGAGAATTCTGCTGGAGGTATTTTTAGGATAAATATGGCTCTGATGATTCTGGTCTAAGTTTACAAAGCAACAGACAAGTTTCTGCAGAAACAGATGAAGAGAAATGCACTAGTAGTGTTGTTGTGTAACATCCTACAGCTCACATGGAATCACCTGCTGAAAATCTGACTGAGAAAGCTTGAAATTTAATGCTTTAACTGCAGCAATGCAGATTTATAGCACCCTTCATATGGCATCATGTGGGCTATTCTATGTTCAGCACTGTAAGACATTGTTACAGTTTGTAAGCTTTGCTGACTACTTCCATTGCATGCAAATAAATATGTGCAGTTGAGGTATAAGAGCTTTAATCAGTGCCTGGAACAGCTTTTATAAATATATAACTATGTACATATCAATCCTCCAGGACAGAAAGCCACACTGTCAATAACTTCTGCTGCTTTTAATTCAGTGTGCAGACATGATCTATGGGGAATGAAAGCAGATTCATATTCAGCTGGAGCTCAGCCATGCCTAATGATTATGTCCCCAGGTAATTCTTCTGTCCTCCCCAAACAAAACCCTGCAGGCAGATTAGTGCTTTACACCTAAATATTACACAAGCACAAGGCTTCAGCTTTGTCCCAGACAATTTGGTACATTCAAGGAGGGAAAAAAAGGGAATATCTTGTCAAGGAACATCACCAGCACTTGAAGAAAACAAAAGTGAAGTTTTTACATGTTACTGTGGCTCCTTTAGTTCTCATCATCATCACCTTCCTCCTCTTCCATGGGCTCCCGCAGGCCCTCGCTCTGACGGCTTTTCCCAGCCATTTCCAGCAAGGCCTGAGCCTGAGGATCCACATCCAGGATACTCTTCTTACCTTTCTTCTTCAAAACAAAATAAAATACAATTTAAAGGGTCAGTATCAGACTACAGGAAAGGGACAGCTCCAAAGTCTGTAAGTGATGTGGTTTGCATGCTTGGCACAATGCAGAAGATGTGTTTCCAATTTCAAAATTCACAAATACATCAAATGATTTTTACTGCTGCAGCTACATAAAGCAGCCATAAACTTTTCCCAAGATGACAGTGAGATATTTCAAGTTTATTCAGGTTACAAGCCATCCAGGACATCCTGGTCAACCCCACCTCAGTCTGAAATGGTGATGTGAGGTTTCTAAAGAGATCCAGTTACAATTCAACATTTTCTGTTTGCTCTGTTTGTACTTAGAGCTACATATCCAGTGAAGTCATGATAGATGAATTTAGTATGAAAAGAAGTAAAAATTAAAAAGAAATAAATTTTAAAACCCCACCAAACTGTACAGACCAGACAGTTTAATAAGAGAATAAATTGCAGGGATAGAGGAAACCTACTCATTCCCAAAAATAAACCATGTGCAAAAGGACTGGCATAAATCTATTCACACAAATTTATGGTAAAACAACAGTAAATTTAAAGTTACTGATAAAGAAAGCTTTTGAATCTCTTCTTGAACTACAGATTAGACTTTACTTGAGAGTTTCCAGTGCTTTCAGAAACTCTAGGTTTTAATGAGCCCTTCCAAGGAGGTTCCTCGCAGAGACCCTTCCTCAATATCAAAAAGGCCTTTTGAAATTCAAAGTACTGCTAATTCTGACTCTATCACCTCATGGCTCCTGATATTCTTTCTCATGGCAACCTCACTAATTCCACTACAGTTCTGCTCTTTGGTGCTACAAAACACAATGCACCACAGGGCCAGGTAAAGAAAATATTCACTACAATGGAGAAACAGTGTTTAAACAGAAAACTGCAACCGTGAACTCTGCATTCACACCTTCTGTTCCAACCAGGACACAATTTCACAGGTTCAATTCACAATTTCACCTACCCCTGCACTCTCAGGGGCATCTCCCACTGCCCAAACTTCCATGGCATCCAGGATAAAATCCTCTTTGGCTGACAGCTGGGGGCTGTTGTAGGTGGTGCAGCGAGGTTTGGCTTTGCTGTGGCCCTTCCCATAGTCACTGTCTATCCAGAGCCCAAAGTAGCCGTGCTGCCCACCCATACCCTGGGGAGAAAACCAGCACATTAAACACATCCTGCACAGGGAAAACAGATGGGAAAGTCAGGAAACCTGAGAGTAAGCTGCTGTGGTCACTATTTATGCCACACTGCTGTGGGTAGGTGCAAAAAGGGAATATCCAGATCTACTATTCCTGAATACTACTGAAAATTTACCTGAGCGATATTGCTCTACCTCTGTGCTTCACAGAATACAAATATCTGTCACTTGTGCCAGAAATTAAACTCCTGGCTTTTGTTTATTGACTATTAACAGTTCCATTTCAAACAGTGCTCAGGTTTGTTACCTCCTTTCCATTTAGGAAAGTATCTAGAGAAACCAAATAATCAAATAATTGAATAATGTAATTTGATGTTGTTCACTTCTTCTAGAGCAAATTAATTCCAGCTTGCTGGAAATTCCCAAAGTTATGGGCACATAATGCTCCAAAATTGTAAAGTATTTCCAGGACAGGTGGTGTGCTGTAGCTCTGCAGAAACTCCTCTGCATCTGGAGAGCTCATTTGTGAATCTGAGCAGGAGCAGCTCCTGCCACTGTCATCACACAGCAGCAGCAGCTACTTGCAATGTCTGCACTCTCATCCTGCTGGGATTTCTCCTCCATAACTCCAAAAGCAGTTGCTGTGGCAGGGAGAGCAGCCAGTGGAAGAATCCTCAGTTACACAGATTACTGTTTTGTGCTGCTTCAGGCAAGCAAACTTCCTCAGAGAATAACAAGTGAAATAAATCTGCTCTCAGAACGAAAAAAAACCCACAAAACACTTCCAAACACCACCACAAATCCAATTTCCAAATCATCATTTCTGAATACTTACAAGTCCATTTGGCATAGTCTGTTGGCCATGGTTTAAATACATGTAGTGGTCATTGTAGCCTGTGTATGTGTACACAGCCAGAGTGGGGGAAACAGAAAACAGAAAGCAACTGTTGTCACCTGCAATCAGAGAAGCACCTCAGGTCAGACAAGAGGTCAAGAAATAACAAATAAATTAGAAAAAATAATTTAAGCTGAATAATTCAAAGACAGCAGCTGCCATCTGAAAAAGCCAGTAGATTCCCCATCAAAATTTATATGTATTTTTTATTCTCAGTGAACTCTGTGCAGTCACAAAAATCAATGCAATTACAGGCTGTGATCAAGGGCAGAGTCAGAGGCAGCACTAGGACATTATGTCACTGTGTCACCTCCCCCAGACTGCATTATATCACCTTACACTGGCCAGCTGACAGATCTGTACAAACTGAATGCAGACATCCCCAGTTCTGACTACATTTCTGGATAAATCAGTTCAGTCAATGATTTAAAGCAATTTTCACCATGCCCAGTTCAGGATTCAGAGGCACCTGTGGTGTGCTTGCCCTGTAGGCTTTATATGTTTCCTTATCAGGAAAAAATACAAGAAAAGGGATGTGTAATCAGAGTAAAATAATATTATACCAACTGTCTGAAGTGGTAATTTTCAAATGCTCATTTAAGATATGAATTAACTTTCTAATGTAGACAGAGTGAGGATTCCTAGCAACACCAGATACCCATAGCCCATGATTTTTTCTTCACAAATCCATCACAAACACTCTTTCCAAAGAGTTCCTCAAAAACCCCTCTTCTCCCTCAAAGTTTTAAGGGAACAAGAAGTTTAGCTTGCCCAAAGAATCCTCTGGCTTCTGGATTTTACAAGAGGAACAGACACAATGACAAGAGGAGGCTCAGGTGTTCCTGATGGAGGACTGCCATCCTGTGGTCAAATTATTTAGACACTAATTCATCATCTGTGCTCTACTTCATTCATTTTCATTTAATTTTCAACCTAAGCAGCTACAGGGCTTGATAGATTTCCCTGAAAACTTCTTCTGTGGTCAGTAAGTCCTGCAATTTCAAAAGCCTTATCAAATAAAAAACTATAAATATTAATCAGCAATATGCTTGACTGCCATGCTAAGAATAACTGCATGTGTTTTATATTCTTTATATTGAAAATTAGTGTTATTTTGGAAGTGTAAGGAACACTCTGTGTCATTAAAGGGACAGTATCCATCAAGGGAACAGGATTCTTGTGCCTGTACAAAAAACAGGGAATTTACCAGAAACACCAAAGAAAGAAAAGTTGAGTTTTACCTTGAAACTGTGGCTTCACCTCCCAGGAGTGAGATGCAAAGCCACCAAAGATGAAACCATCCAAGTCCCTTATGATCACTATGCAAGGACCTTTGTTCACTATGTGTGCACACAGCTGGGAGAAGCTCTCCCCGTGGAGCCTGGAGGAAAATAAAAGCTGCCACTTGTGCTGCATCTCTGCAGGCAGGTGGGAGTTGATGTAGATGATGGCTGGGATGTCAAAGAGACTGCCAACTCCCCTTCCTTTGATGCCTCTGCAGTGAGGAACCAGGTTGAGGATGTCGTTGGTTTGGTCTGGGAGGGAATGCAGGACGTGGAGGCCCTGCCTGATGACAACACTGAGGAAAACTGAGATCTGGGGCACTCTGTACACCCAGTCCTCAATCACACTCTGGTCAAAACTTGTCTCCAGCAGCTGAGAACCCACGGGTTTGGTCCCATCTGAAGAATAAGACACACAGGGAGAGGAGTAAGTCTCCCTGTCTGGAAAATAATCAGGTGATTTGTAAGTGTGAACATAATTTTAATGGGCAGAAAACCACTAATGAAAGAAGCCAGGAACAGTAAAGTGTCAACTACATTAAATGCAACCACAGAACTGAGAAACCTTTACCTGTGGCATTCTTTGGCTGGGCTGTCATGATTTAGAAACACAAACTTTGAGCTACAACTCAGGAAGTGTTCTTTACAAGACAGCAAAATCTGTTATTACAACAGTGCAAAAACAGACCTATGCTTTATAAAAGGATATAGCCAAAAATACATGATAAATTTTATTTAAATAAATATTATTTAGATGCCCATTCCTATCACCTACAAGTCAGCTATTTGTGAAATACACATGTTCCATGACAAACTAGGACTTCAGATCAAATCTCACCTGAATTTAGGGGAGAAAGATGGTAAGGTTAAATAAATAAAACTTCAATGTCATTTTCTAAGCACTAGGTTTGAAATTTTGGTCTCACCCTTAAAATTCAAAGTTGTGACCTAAACAGAAAAATTCTCATGAGATCACTGATTACACAAGCTCTGGCATAAGCTGAATCAGGGCTGCTTACCTGGAAGCTTCAATTCTGAGAGCAGCTCAGAAGCCAAAGCTTTGACTCCACTTGAAGAATCCCTTGTGTTCTCCAAACTCCAACCCTTCAGCTCCTTCCTGTAGCTCAGTACATGGACTACAGATGTGATCAGATCCTCTGTGAACTTAAAAGATTAAAACATCCCCGTTTTGGTATTTAAGTGAAATTTCCAAGGGCTTCAAAGGACTGTCTGAAGATAAAGTCAAGCAGTAGTGATGCTGTAATCCCAAAGGCAGAAACATCTCTTGCCATGACAAGTCAGAAACTACAGAAATCCTATTTCAGTGCCATAGGCCTTGAAAAGGATCCTTTTT